GAGGCCGTCCCCTCACTCTTCATCTGTCTGAGCTGCCTCTGCAAACAGCCAAGCCAAACCCTAAACCCTAAACCCTCAGCCCTAAACCCTAAACCCTAAACCCTAAACCCTAAACCCTAAACCCCCAACGTATGAAGAGAATAGATCCAAACAAGGCACGGAAATCTGGCTGCCTAAAGATTCAGGGATGAACCATAAATTAATGCTTGAACGAATCTAGGGTTTAGGGTTTAGGGTTTAGGGTTTAGGGTTTGGCTTGCTTCGCCGCTGTTCTTTCTTTATTCTGTCTTCTTTGATATGCTTTGATATTTTCTGTGCTATTTCTCTTGCAGTCATATTCTGGCCAAAGAAATCCTTAAGAGAACCGTCCAGCCCTGCAACACAAACCCTAAACCCTAAACCCTAAACCCTAAACCCTAAGCCCTAAATGGTGAGCATTCATAACGCCGCTGCTTAGTTAGAAGGATTGGACAACTGCAGTTTAAAAGTGGGGAGAAGAAAGAGAAGGATGTCTCTGTCACCCCCAAACCCTAAACCCTAAACCCTAAACCCTAAACCCTAGACTTACCCATGAAGTAGTGGATGATAGAATGGTCTACAAGGTATTCTTCGTCTCCCGTTCTCGCGGTCTCATTAAAATAAACTCTAAATTTGCGAGTAATATTCTTTATCTGCCCCTGAAACCACAAACCCTAAACCCTAAACCCTAAACCCTAGCGCTATTCCTCTAGAACAGCTGCGATGGGACCCAGTACGCCTCAACAGCACCAACAATAACAGCAGCAGCAGCAGCAGCAGCACATGATGGACTACCCTTTCCAGCAGCAGCAACAGCAGCAGCAGCAGCAACAGCAGCAGCAGCAGCAGTAGCACAGCAGCAGTAGCAGCAGCAGCACCACTACCATCCCCACCAGCTGTACCAGCAGTAGCAGCAACAGCAGCAGCAGTACTAGCAGCAGCAGGAGCAGCAGCAACACCAGCAGCAGCAGCAGCAGCAGCAGCAGCAGCAGCAGAAGTTGCTGACGGGAGTGCCGGTGAGGCCCAAGAGCCGGGGATGAAACTCTCTGCAGTAGTCGGCGACTTGTGCTACGCAGTCTCTTGCTGGATCCACTGAAGAAGTAAACAATTAATTGTTTAATTAAACGCTTCTGTCTTTTAAAAGATAATATAAAATAATGTCAACAGAACGATATAAAAGAAAGCAAAAGAAAGCAGACAAAAGGAGACACAAGCAAACAAAAGGAGACACCTGAACGCATATATATATATATATATACTGTATATAATATATAATATATATATGCTGTATATAATATATAATATATATATACTGTATATAATATATAATATATATACTATATATAATATATATAATATATATACATATATACTGTATATAATACATATAATATATAATATATATATGCATATATATATATATTTTAACAAGAGAAAGAAAATATCGGTACCTGTAACAAACACCGGCTGAACCACCTCTCCAAACTCTTTATCTGCAGCAAACCCCACAATATAAACCCTAAACCCTAAACCCTAAACCCTAAACCCTAGACACTAAACCCTAAACCCTAAGCCCTATGCCTCAGTATCAGGTGCAAACATGAGTAAGTCCTACACGGAAGCGTAGTGTTTGCGAAAGATATATTTCGAATACATCGAAGCTTTTGACAAATTAGGGTTTAGGGTTTAGGGTTTAGGGTTTAGGGTTTAGGGTTTAGGGTTTAGGGTTTAGGGTTTATTTGACCGATTTGTTCGATAACTTCAGCGATTTTTTGCAGCTCTTTTGGGCAAATGTCGGGGCAAAAAGAAAACCCAAAGTACAGCAGAAGATATTTATCTTTAAAATCTTTATTGCTGCATAGCTGTGCAGCAGAGTTTACTAAGACCCAGCTTCCTCCTACTAACGGACGACCTATTGAAAGTGTCTCCGTTATCGCTGAGGAGACAGACAAAAAACAATTTAAATAAATAAATATATATAAATTATATGTATATAATATATATAATATATATATTATATATTATATATATATTATGTACAATTATATGTATATAATATATATTATATATATTATACATATTATATATATTATACATATTATATATATTATATATATTATATATGTTATATATATTATACATATTATATATATTATACATATTGTATATATTATACATATTGTATATATTATATATATAATCAACAAAAAGACAAAAGGAGACAGAATTTATTTTATTGTAAAGAGACAGAAGAAAGAGAGTAAAGAAAGAAAGAGAGTAAATAGAGAGACACAAGGAGACAAAATTTAATATAAAGAGACAGAAGAAGGAGACAGAAGAAATAGGGTAAAGAAAGACAGAGACAGAGACAGAGACAGAAGGAGACAAAAATTTATATAATATGAAGAGACAGAAGAACGAAACAGAGTAAAGAAAGAGAGAGACAGAAGAAAGAGAGTAATGCAAGAGAGAAGAGAGTAAAGAAAGAGATCAAAAAGAAAGAGACGCAAGAAGGAGACACAAGAAGGAGACATAAGAAGGAGACAGCAGCAGCAGCAGCAGCAAGACACAAGCACCTTCGCCACGCAACAGCAGCAGGAACAGCAGCAGCAAAAGAGACATAGGAAAAGAGAGAAGGAGACAGAGGAGGAGACAATAGAGACATAGACAGAGCACAAAGACACCCAGCCAATGCCTCTGCAGCAACAAAGAGACACAAGCAGCAGCAGCAGCAGCAACAGTGCAGCAAGAAGCAGCAGCAGCAACACACCGGCCTTCTGTCTCTTCTTTCTCTCCATCTGGAAGAGCACCAAAGCCGTCATCGCCCTGCAGCAGCAGCAGCAGCAGCAGCAGCAGCAGCATCAGTAGCAATAGCAGCAGCAACAACAGCAGCAGCAAGAACAGCAACAGCAGCAGCACCAGGTTTCATTGACGAGGCAACGACACAGCAACTCATACGTAGCAGCAGCTGCTGCAGCAGCAGCGGCGGCAACAAGAAAAGTAACAGTAACAGCAGCAGCAGCAGCAGCAGCAGCACCTACGCGCATGCAGCGCTGCAGAGAAGAGACACCCTCCACGTAACAAGGCGAGGAGACGATGGGGGGAGGGAGGCCTTTGGAGGGGTTTGTGCTGCTACTGCAGCAGCAGCAGCAGCTGCTGCTGCTGCTGCTTCCACCTCGTGCCGATGAGCAGCGCGTGCTGCTGCAGCTTCAACACTGGGGAACCGCAAGGCATTCAGATCCGGCCTAGCAGCAGCAGCAGCAGCAGCTGCTGCTGCTTTTGCTGCAGCTGTCATGGGCATATGAGCTATTGGCGCTGCTGCGCTATCGTCCCGCTGCTGCTGCTGCTGCTGCTGTTCTTGATGCTGCTGCTGCGGCTGCTGCTGTTGTTGCTGCTCATCTTGGTGCTGCTGCTTTGACCTTTGCTGAGGCTGCTCGTGCTCCTGCTGCTGTTGTGTCTGACCTTGCTGCTGCTGCTGCTGCTGCTGCTGGTCTTGCTGCTGCTGCATCTGAGGTTCCCCTTTTGAATGTTTCGGCCGTGATGAGAAGCAGCGGCTGCTGCTTCTGCTGTTGCTGCTGCTGCTGCTGCTCCTCCAAGACAGCAGCTGTCTTTGTTGCTGCAACTCACGCACGCGGCAGCAATTGCTGCTGTTTGAGATGCTGCTGCTGTACCAGCTGCTGAAGTTTCTGCTGCTTCTGCTGCTGCACCAACTGCTGCCGTTTCTGCTGCTTCTGCTGCTGCTGTTGCTGCTGCTGCGCCAGCACACGAACGCAGCAGCAGCTGGGGACTTGAGGCCCTGCTGCACCGCCATGTGGAGTGCTGCTGCTTGCTGCAGCCCCAGCTGCAGCTTAAGTACCGACCTGCTGCTGCTGCTGCTCATTCTGCTGCTGCTGCACTGCCGTCGATCCTTTTGCTTGCTGCTCTTGCTGCTGCTGCTGCTGCTGCTGCTGCTGCGCAGCCACAAGCTGCAGCAATTGCTGCAGTGTAATTCCACAAGGAGCAGCAAATATCAGTCGGAGGCTCGTTTGCTATCGCTATATACCCAATAGCAGCAGCAACCTCGCTGCCTGCTGCTGCTGCTGCTGCTGCTGCTGTTGTTACTGTTGCTGCTACTACTGCTGCTGCTGTTGCTGCTGATTGTTAGACCCCTTGCATGTGCTGCATAAGAAACGAGTTGATAATAATAACAATTCAAGAGAAAAATTAAAAAGTAATATTAACATGTGCAGACTTAAACAGGGTTTAGAGGGGCCCCCTGGGGGCCCCTCTAAGCCCTGTTGCTGCTTAGAGAAGTTTGCTGTAATTATAGTTGTTTATATTTAAAATAAATATATTTTTTCTTTTATTTTAAGAAAGAGGAGACAGCTGCAGCAAGGCAGACAAGGACATACTCTATAACAACACTTGGTTTGTTGCTGCTGCTGCTGCTGCAGCTCTTGCTGGGTTGCTGCTGCACCTGGGGCAGCTGCTGCTCGCAACAGCAGCAGCAACAGCAGCAGCAGCAGCACTTGCTGTCTTCTCTTTTGTGCTGCCTCCGCAGCTTCCCGGTGTATATCTGTCTCCTTGAACGCCCTGAGTCCTAAACATTACTTTGGGGCTGCATGCAAACAAAAAAAAATTGAGTGCGGAGACTGTCATTAGGTCGGGAGACCTCCGACAAACTGTAGCTAGCTGCAGCTAGCTACAGCTAGCTACAGCTAGCTAGGGCTAGCTGTTACCTGTTTATGTCTAAGGCTAGCTGTAGCTAGCTGTTTTGATTTCCTGTTTGCTGCGAATAGCGACTTTTAGCTGCTTCTATCCATGGCTAGCTGTAACTAGCTGTATATGTATGTAGCTAGCTGTAGCTAGCTGTAGCTAGATGTAGCTAGCTGTAGCTAGCTGTAGGCAGGAGAGCGAGTTGAGGGGACAGAGAAAAACGGAGACAGCCGCAAATACGAAGAACAAATAAATGAACGCTGCAATCCCTGAATAAAGAAAAACTGTTGCTGCTACTGCTGCTGCTGCTGCTGCTGCTGCTGCTGCTGCTGCTGCTGCTGCTGCTGCTGCTGC